TTTGCCCCTTTTGTTCCATGTGTTGTAACATTCCTCATGAGTCTGTTGTTCAGCACTGTGTCAAATGCCTTTTGAAAATCCATGTACACCACATCCATAGCATTCCTGTTGTGGATGCTTTCTGCCAACTATTCAAAACACACCAGCATATTAGTCAAATACAATTTCACATTTCAAAATCTTTGCTGGCTCTTCCTCACCAACCCACATTTTTCCAGGTAACTATTGATTTTATCCTAAATAATTGTTTCTAGAAACTTCTGCAATACTGAATTTAAACTGACTTTTTTGCAATTGCTAGACTTATTCTTACATCTCTTTTGGAAAAGGGTGTAGTTTCCCCAATCCTCTGCCATCTTCCATGACAGCTGGGAAGGTTAAAAGATGATTGACAATTTTCACTGTCACTTTCTTTAATATTTTTGCTATCTCACCCAGTCCCAATGCCTTATCAAGCTCCTTAAAAACCCATAGTTTTCAATGAGACCATAACTCATTCTTCTAAACTCCAATGAATAGTACTGACATGTTTAGCCTTTCCTCCAGATCCGGGATCATCCCACTGAACATTCTGAAACTACCTCCAATGAAATGATATCTTTCCTTAAATAATGGGACCAAAACTGCTCACATCCAAGGGTGCTGAGACATCACTCCTTTGCATTCTGGGAATGGACTTCGCAGTCACTATGGATGTGAAGGGCATCGTGGAAGACCATCCCTGGTGACTAGCAGGAAGCGAGCATCCAACCAGAGGGCACTGAGACATTGCTTGCTTGTATTCTGGGAGTAGACTGTACAGTTGCATTTAAGTATCAATAGCCCATTCAACATTTCCTCCTTATCAAATTTGAATGCTTCCAGATACAGAACTCACCATGACTTGCATAAAATCTACCACCTTGGTAAAGACAGATGCAAAGTGTTCTTTTAAAACCTCAGCCATGCCCCCTGCCTCCATGTGTAAATGCCCATTCTGGTTCTTAATCAGCTCTATTCCTTCTAACACCCTTTTACTATTGATGCACCTAGAGAAAACTTTGGGATTTCCTTCTATGTTGGCCACCAATCTTTTTCATAATTATTCACCGTTTATGTGATATGCATTTTCGTATCCCCTCCGAAACTTCTATGACTGTTTCGTTTTCGATTGTATTTCTACCTGACACTTGCAAAAGCGCACTTAATCAACTTTATGTTAATTTTTATCTCCTTTTTCATTCAGGTAGCTCTGGATTTGTCTGCCCTCCCTTTCCTTTTTGAGGAAATTAGGCCCAAAGCATGTCCAGTTTGAAGGTAGCCCACTGTTCAGCTGTAGCTTTTCACCTTAGTCTTTTGCTCCAGTCGACCTGGCCTAGTTCCATTCTTGCCCAGTTGAAGTTGGCTGTCCTCCAGTTATATATTCTTACAGTGCATTGCCTAGTCTTCTTTTCTATCATTATTGTAAATGTTTTGATCCAATGATCACTGTCTCCTCAATGTCCCTCTCCTGACAAGTGATCTACTTGGCACACCTCATTTCCCAGAATAATTATTATCAGATTTTATTGCCATGTGTACTTGAGTACAGGAATGGAGGAGTACAGTGAAAAATGGACAGGTCATCATTCTCCAGCGCCATCTTAGAATACAAAAGACAGGATTTAAAAGCAGAAGCAGAAATAAAAGAAGCATCCAAAAGAAAAGGAAACACCCAGATCATGCCCCTGCTCCTACCGTGAGTCCTCACTGCCAGAAAAACAAAGCCACAAAGTCCATCACTCAGTCTGTGAACATTCAGGTGTCCCAAATCTCATCCCAGCCAGAATGCCATCATCTCCACCATCAGGTACCCAGGCCAAACCACGTCCTGGAGCCGCGCCATCGCCACTGGAATCATATCACTATTCTTCGGTGGCGTTTTGCCTCCACTGATGTCACCATCATGAGTCCTCGCTGTGCAAAGCTCAGTAATGTAGCCGCCACTGAAGCTGCCAGGTCCTGGACTGGGCCACAGCTCGATGCTGGAGCCACCCACACCATAGCAACTGATGCCTCATTCTGGCTTAGGTTGTTGTCGCTGCTGCCTCTGGGAGGGTACTGCTTTCACCACTGCCGACACCAAAGAAGGTACCACTGCTGTCCCTCCAGACACTCCAGTAAGAAACTGCACTCTCTGCTACTGACACCCTGCGAAAGGGGCTGATGCCACCAAAAAGGAAAGAAAGGAATAAAAAAAAGAGCTAAAGTAAAAGAGAGAAGAAAGACAGGAAGGCAAAGTGAGCAAGCACGGGGTCAGGATCCAGATCCGAACACTGCCACTTCATTGTCGCCATCTTGGATTTTCCTGGTTGGACAGGATGCATACTGCAGTCGGAAATTTTCCTGAATACATTCCGGAAAGTTTGCCCCTGCCTACCCATTGTCCCAGTCTACATTTGGGTAGTTAAAATCCCAAATTATAACCATTTTGGAATGTTACCACTTCTCTGTCATTTCCTTGAAGATTTGCTCTTCTCATCATTCCCACGAGGGTGTTGGTCTGTAGACTACATCAAGCAAGGTAATAGCACCTGTTTTTAATGCCTTAGCTCCAGCCAGATTGATTCTGTCCTCTAACTGTGTGGGGTGTCATCTTATTCCAGCAACGCAATACTCTCCTTAACCAGTCCTACCACCCCTCTTTCTCTCCTTCCTTTAGAATCTTTTCCAAACACCTTGTACTCAGCAATATTTAACAAACAACCCTGCCCTTCCTTGAACCATGCCTCACTTATAGTCACAACATTATATTTCATTGTAGTAATTTGCATCTGTATCTTAATTCCCAATTTTATTTACTGTGCGCCACACATTCCTATAAATGCACAATAACCCTGATTCAACCTTCATTACTTTATCCCTTACTCTGACTTCACTTACTGACTTTTTCTTCTCATACTAATGCTTTCTGTCACTGTAGGTTATGCTGGGAACCCTGGTATTCATCTTTAATATCCTCTCTTGCTTCCCATACCCTTGCTGAATTCAGTGAAAGTCCGAGCCGTGGCACTAGAAAAACACCCTACAAGGAACTTAGTACCATCTCTGTTCAGGTGCAACCCACCTGGCTTTTACAAATGCCATCTTTCCTAGAGCCAGTTCCAGAAATCTAAATCCCTCCCTCCTAAATCATTTTTCCAGCCAGCCATTCATTTATGTTGTATTTTTATTTCTGTACTCAGTTGTACATGGAACCTGGCAAAATCCAGAGATGACTCCGTTTGAGGTCCTGTTTGCTACTTTTCTCCTGAGCTCCCCTGGTTTTGATTGCAGGACCACATCTCCCTTCCTATTCAAGTCATTGCTAACAATGTCCATCAGAACTTCCATGTGTTTACCCTCCCCCAGATGAATGCCCTGCAACTATTCCATGACATCCTTGATCAGGGCACCAGGGGGGGCAATATACCATCCTGAAGTCACATTTACGGCCACAGAAATACCTATCGGCAATCTTTCTCAATGATTCACCAGTTGCTGTTGCTTTTCCTTTTCTCTTCCTCCCTCATGCACAGGTAAGCTTTTCATGATGCCTGAAACTTGGCTCTGACTGTATGTCCTTGAGGAACCAGGACCTTCCCTACTTCCAAAACGAAAACTGATTTATGAATGTGACGCCGGGGAACTCCTGGCCCACTTGGCAGTTTCTCTTGGATTGCGTAGTAGTCACTGAATTCCTTTCTGACTTCAGAACCGTAAGCTGTGATGTGAGCACCTCTCCGAATGTACTATCCTCATAACTCTGAGTCTAATGGATGTGCTACAAGTGACTTCAGCCACCACTCATGCTCTGAAACCTCGAGCTCAAATGTCAGCAGCTGGCAGCACTGTCTGTACATGGGGTCATCTAGGATGACTGTAGGGTCCATGTCTTTCCATAGGCCGCATATTCCACTCAACCAAGCTGAACTGTTATACCTTATATGAACGTTATTTTGGATTACTTGTGTTACTTTATTATTACCCGAAACGTTAACTCTGTTTTAACCTTCACAGATGCTGCCAGACCTGCTGAGCTTTTCCAGCAACTTTGTTTTTGTTCCTGATTTGCAGCATCCGCAGTTTTTTCGGTTTTTATTGATTTATCAATATTTATCAAAGAAAGTTGGGACGGGTTAAGTCTGCCATTTGAAGGATCTATCATCTATCTTAGTTTTTCTCTGGGCAATAGATAATGGACTGGAGAGTTTGAGATATCCAAATAGACTGAAAACACTGGGACTTTTTCACTAGAGCATAGGAGGTTGAGGTGTGACCTTATTGAGGTTTATAAAATCACAAGGGCATAGATAAGGTGAATGACAAGAGTCTTTTCCCTAGGGTGGGGGAGTTCAAGACCAGGGGACACATTTTAAAGGTGAAAGGAGAAAGACTTAAAAAGGACATGAGAGGCAACTTTTTTTACACAGAATTCAGAAGGGTAGTAACAAGCACACTGTAAAATCTGAAAATAGTTGGAAACCTTTACCTATATACTGCTCAGTCACAGTGCCTCTTGCAGTTGAGTTTATTTCAGTTCATTGATTGCATTATTTCCCTGTGGCTTGAGGTAGTTTGTAGAAAAATATATTAGGTTCAGTAAATTTGGCAGTCTACACAGTCAAGACTGACCCTACATTTTTGCATTTGATACGGAAGTAAATTATTTATCTGTTAACCTTTAATCAGGAATCATCAGAAACATCCCCTAATCAATGTTAGTCAAATACTCTGGCCGTCTGTCACCTGGGACCAAGCAGGAGTTGAGGAGAAAATAGATACTCTATACATTTAATATTATTGTAATGATTATTATTACTAATTATTTATTAATCAAACAGACAAAAGGTTGTTCCAACTAAAGGTTTGTTAAAATAAAATACTCTTTTTTTCCATAATCTCTTAATATTTGTTTGCCCTATGCAATTCATGTGAAGTTAAATTTTAATTATGCTGCAGAAAATAGGCTATAATGGTCAATGTTCTGTTTTATTATATAGGTAATTCTTTCTGGTGCCTACTTGATGTTGTGCCAATTAAAAATGAAAAAGGAGACGTAGTTCTTTTTTTGGCATCCTTCAAAGACATCACTGTCACCAAAGTGAAGATTGCCCAGGAAGATAAAAAGGAAGGTCAGTGTTTCATCTTGAAACTTTGCTTAGTTAAATGAGGCAGCGAGATGTGTTTTTTACAGTCAGGTTGCAAGTAACAGGCAGTAATTAATAAATTTGCAAAAAAAGAATATTGACAGTGAATAATCTGTTATTGCTGTTTTGTTTATTTTCAGAAGTAGCTATCCAAAGCATATGTTCCTTTCATAAATTATGCTAAATCTCAGTTAATTGTCTTCAAAATTTTTGCTGTTAAGTGCACGTATAATAAACATTTAGTTTCCCTATTTAACCCAACATACAGTTTCCTATTATTTTCTAAATCCAATTTTATTCAGCATTTTCAGGCTTAAGTTATTCAATTAAATTTTTTCTCATTTACAAAATTAAGCTTAAAATGTGCCTGTCTTCTCTTTTAATTGTCAGCTTCATGAAATAAACATATTCTATGACTATTACTATATCACCAAATTGAGAATTCAAATACTTTCCAGAAACAAATTGATAAATATATCATAGACTAAACAACTTGAAAACAGGCCATTCAATCTAATTGTAGTATTTATCATAGAATACCTACAGTGTGGAAGCAGACCATTCAGCTCTTATCAATTCTCGAAAGAGCATTCAGCTTCAATCAATTCTCCAAAGAGCATCCCACTCCATCCCTGTGTCCCTGCATTTCCCATGGCTAATCCACCTAGCCTGCACTTCCCTGGATACTATGGGCAATTTACCATGGCCGGTGCACCTAACCTATACATCTTAGGACTGTGGGAGGAAACTAGAGGAAACCCACACAGAAATGGGGAGAATGTGCAAACTCCACACAAACAGTCACCTGAGGGTGGAATCAAACCCAGGTCCCTGGTGCTATGTAGCAGTAGTGCTAACCACTAAACCATCATAGTCTATGATCTACCCAAGCTACACTATTGCCTATTTCTTTCTCTGTCTTCTATTTATCTGACTTACACTTAGTTGCATCTATGCTATTCACCTCAACAACTCTTTGTGGTAACGAACTTCATATGCTAACAGAAAACCTGAAAAAAAGTTTCTTCTGAATTCTTTATTGAATTTATTAATATCTTAGAAGAAGGAACCAGTTACAATATTGTCTAGCATGGGCTCAATTGTTATTCCTGCTTTCAATAAGGAATGGGTTTGACAGCACAATCATATTTGATGTACAAAACTTTCTAAAGTATTCCTGCTATTGTTCTTTTGTCATTTCAATTGATATCTTTAGATGGTGGCTCAGATATCACTTAAAACTTCAATTCCCCTGAGCACTAGAGATGAATTTTTACTGCGAAAGCAGATAGCTTGAGTTAGGAAAGATCCAAAATGTTGCACTAACTTCTATAAAATGTTCCTTGAAATAAGCAATGTTTATGGGTGTGCAGCTGCAATGGGGCCTGCTGACCCTAGAAGCTCAGCGTACACAGTCTTAATGGTAGGATGGTGTACAAATGTTCAGGCAGTTTTTAATACTGGAATAATTTTTCCAGTTTTTTTTTTACAAGAAGTTAGACTCTTTAGTTCCCAACCCTTAAACTCCTCAACCTCCCCATCTTCCATTGCCTTCGCCTTCCATGACAATTCATAATCACTGCTTATGATTCCTCATTAACCTTCAGCAGTAGATCTCAGTGACTATGTAGAGATGGTTAAAAAAAACTTCTAACAAGCTAATCAAGTTGTATTCCTACGGACTTGACAGTGAAATGAAAACTTACATTCATAAAATCATTCAAAGCTTTTAACTCTCTTCAAGTGTTTGATTGCTTATAAACAAACTTTTATTCCAACCCCACGCAAAGGAAAACTAATCTTTTAATAGTCTCTTTGAGCTGTCAGTCAAATCGATACTGAATGTAGGTTTTGATGTAGAATTTGAAACTCAGCCAAACATTCATGCATAATGATATCCTTCGGAAATGTCATTAAGAAGCTCTACTGAAACTGCATGAACAGATACGACTGTTTTGTTTTCTAATCTATGTCTGTCAATCCAATTTTTTTTTTTAACTCTCACTAACAACTGTAGCCTGGGCTTCATAAAATTTGAAGAGTGGAAAATTTTTTTAAAAATCGAAGATCATGATAGTTATGCTGACCAAACTATTGCTTGAAAAATGTTTGCATCTACTTCATAAATTTGGAGTACACTGAGGGCTTTGTTTCTAAGTATACAGACACCACAAAGATAGATGGATGGACAAGTTGTTTTGAGGAGGTGGGGAGGCTGCAGAAGGTCTTGGACAGACTAGGAGACTGGACAAAGAGGTGACAGATGGAATACAATGTGGGAAAGTGTGAATTCATGTACATTAGTAGGAAGAAGAGAGGCATAGACTATTTTCTAAATAGGGAAAGGCTTCAGAAATCTGAATCACAAAGGGGCTTAGGAATCTTGGTTCAGGATTCTCTTAAGGTTTACAAGCAGGTTCACTTGTCAGGAAGGCAAATGCAATGTTAGCATTCATTTCAACAGTGCTAGAATACAAGAGCAGGGATGTACAGCTGAGACTGTATAAGGCTCTGGTCATTTGGAATAATGTGAGCAGTTTTGGTCTTCACATCTAAGGAAGGATGCATTGGCCTTTGCGGGGGTTCAGAGGAGGTTTAAAGGTGGAGGCCAAGTCATTAACTGTATTTAACACAGAGATAGATAGGTTCTTGGTAAATAAGGAGTCAAAGATTATGGCGAGAAGGCAGGAGAATGGGATTGAGAAGCATGTCGGCCATGATCACAGACTAGGTGGGCCGAATGGCCTAATTCTGCTCCTATATCTTGTGATTTAATATTCTGCCTTTCTGGTTTTCTCAACCAAACTGGATAACAACACACTTATATTCGATTTACCATGTTCTTACCCATTCTTTTAGCTTATTCAATTCAACTTGAAACCCTCTTGCACACTTCTGACAATTTTAATGGCAGGAGATATCATACATTGCTCCTCCTGCAATACGTGGGAAATCAGGGACACTTCCAGTCTCCATGGTGGCCATGCATGCAGGAAGTGTTTTCAGCTGCAGCTCCAAATTTGACCACATGAAGCGCCTGGATCTGCTGATGGACTCGCTATGGAGCATCCATGAAGCTGAGGACATCATGGATAGCACATTTAGCAAACTGGTCACAAAATGAGTAAGGGCTACACACCCAGAAAAAGTATTGGGTGACCTCCAGGAAGACTAGTAACCATGGCCAACTATTGCAGGAGTCCCTTTGGCCATTCTCCTCTCAAACAGATATACTGTTTTGCATACTGTTGTGGGTGTTGACCTCTCAGAGGAAAACAACAGCAGCCAGATCAATGGCAGCACAACTGGCTCTTGTACAGAAGGAAGGGTCAAAGTGTAGGGGAGTGGTAGCAGGACTCTATAATAGTGGCACAGATAGCTGTTTCTGTGGCCATGAGCGAAACTTCAGGATGATGAGTTGGCTCCCTTGTTCTGGGGTCAAGGATGTTTCTGAGTGGGCACAGGATATTCTGAAAATGGAGAGTGAGCTGCTAGAGCTAATGGGTCATGTTTGTTCTAATGACAGGCAGAAGAGAGATGAGGTCTTGCAAAAGGAGTTTGAGGAGTTAGGTATAAAATTCAAAAGCAGGTTGGGTTGTAATCTCGGGATTACGCCCTATGCCATATGCTAATGAGGCCAGAAATAGGAAGATAATACAGTTGAATGCATGGCTAAAAAGCTGGTTTAGGAGGGATGGATTCAAATATTTGGATCATTACGATTTCTTCCAGGGCAGGAGAGCCCTGTATAAGAAGGACGTGTTGCACCAATATCCTTGTAGGGACGTTTGCTCGTGGACTTGGGAGGGTTTAACTTGGTGAGGCAGTGGGATGGGAACCAGAGCAGTAGGTCAGCTTGTGAAGTGATTGAGGAGAAGGTACAGGTTAAGTCAAATAAGTCTAATAGGAAGAACAGACAGGGCCAGATTAATGAACATGGCAGGTCTGGCAGTCTGAAGTGTATTTATTTTAATGCAAGGAGTATAACAAGTAAAGCATTTGATCTTAGAGCGTAGATTAGTACATAGAACTACAGTGCTATAGCCATCACAGAAGCTTGATTGGGAGAAAGGCAGGACTGGCAGCTGAACATTCCAGGGTTTAGATGTTTCAGGTGGGATACAGTGGGATGTAAAAGGAGTGGGGAAGTGCATAACTGGTTAAGGAGAATGTCACAACTACAATAAGAGAGGACATCTTGGAGGCTCAACTAGCATGGCCATATGGGTAGCACGCAGGAATAAGAAAAGTACAATCACTACAATGGGGTTATACTATCTCCCAATAGGCAACAGGAGATCAAGGACAGATATGGAAGCAGATCATGGAAAGATGTAAAATTGACAAGGTTGTTTAGTGGGTGATTTTAAATTGCCCAATAATTACTGGGATTCCCATAGTATCAGGGGTTTAGATGGGGCAGAATTTGGTGCATCCAGGAGGGTTAGTTTAAACAATATGTAAAGAGTCCCAAATTGGGACAGGACTGGACTAGACCTTGTATTGGGGGATGAGGCAGTCCAGGCGATCAATCTTTCAGTGGGGGAGCATTTTGGGAACAGTGATCATAATTCCACACATTTTAAGACAGATATGGATAATGATAAGACTAGTCCTCGGGTGAAAGTGCTAAATTTGAGGAATGCTAAAGAATGGTAGAAAAGGATTAGGGCATGCTTGTCTTCATTGGTCAGGGCATTAAGAATACAAGTTGGCAAATCATGTTGTGGCTATATAAGAATACAAGTCGATATTTGGAGTATTGTGTGCAGATCTGGTCGCCACACTGTAGGATTGATTTGGAAGCTTTGTAGAAAGTGCAAAAGAGGTTTAATAGAATGCTGTCTGGATTGGAGTGTTTTAGCTATAAGGAGGGGTTGGGCAAACTTGGATTGTTTTTGCCAGAATGTCGGAGGCTGAGGGGAAACCTGATGGAAGTATGTAAAATTATGACAGTCCTGGGTAGGGTAGATAGATGGAGTCTT